TAAGGTGCTGAAAAGCCACTCTAATCTCGATCAGACTATCAGGATATCATCGGCAAAATGTTGGATGAGACTTGCTGTTATTCACACTTGCGTGTGACCCCAGGCACTATGTGTGTAGCTATCTGTAGCAAGTCTCTTACTCAAAATCTCAGATGAACTTGGCAAAGCAACAAACAAAAATAAGCATAGGAGTAAGCGTGTGGTGACTGATCAGTTGTATGCATATATACCTATAATGCTTATATACAATGCATATTAACCCTTAATAACCTAGAGTTTTAATTTTGATACCAATCTTATAATCCGAATGTTCACATTACTATTAATTTTTTTTATAGGTTGGCTATTCGTATTTTACTGTTGTATAATATTCTTTCCAACGAAATAAAAAAAAAACAAATGTCATTATTGTTTTATTTTATCTATGACATATTACTTGCGCGGCAAAGTGAACAAGTAAACACATTCTACTAAAAGTTTTGTTGAATACAAATTTGATATAGGGTAAAGTATCTAATTCGTAGCACTACACCAATTATCAGCACTGCACAAAAAAAATACGAATTATAAGAGTTGTCGTTGAATTTAAATTGCTACGTGAAAAAAAATCGGATTTAAATTTATCAAATTATTATGTAAGCTAGAAACATTAAAAAAAAATAAGATGGCGTGACGATTGCAATAAATAAGTAGTTATAGTGCCACCAACTTATCTGTTCAGGTGGACAAAATTGGAACTAAAGCCGCCATTTTGTAAATGACATTTCGCTGTCAGTTATTATTTATTCTGAGCTATCAGGTGAGTGTTTTTAAAAAGTGCAAATAAAATGCCTAAAGATCTTAAAAGTGATGCGGGACAGATTATCTTGAAAGTTTTATCTTTTATGAAAGGCGAGAAACGTGTTCAAGCCCCAACTATACCATTTGAAAAGCTGTATGAACGCGTTACTGCCGCGACAGGTTTGTATTGCCAGATATGGAAAATTAAAATCACCAAATAATGTACTTGTGAAACATAGTAAAAAAATTATTTCAATCTACTGTAAAACTGTTGGTAAATCTTATGTTCCAACGCCCCAATTAATTGAAGATGCATTCCATAAAATTACACCGGTGTAGTGAAAAAACATTTGTAATCATATAAAAAACTTGAAAATAAATACAGACTAAAATACGCGTATTTAGATGAACCCTTTATTATAGCGTGTTAGAGCGATATCGAAAGCGACTCCAGTGACTGTGACTCAGAAGATGAATTATTGGAACCAGTAGCTAGCGCGGGTACATCTTTCAAAACACAAATTCCTGGAGTTCAGCCGCTTGAACACCGAGGTCGCGACCACAATTATTTTTATAAAATATAAAAAATATATATTATAACACTAATTCTCATTAATTTTAATATATTAACAAGAAATTTGTTTTATTTTATATTATGTGTAATGAATATGTAGTCACCTATTTCCTCGGTGAATTTCTTAAATGGCAATAGTAAGCACTCCACTAGCGACGCTGTCAACTGAACAGATAAGTTGGTGGCACTATACCTGTGTGTGTAAGGTAAAAAAATTCGGCCATTTTGATTGGGTGACGGTAAGTTCTTGTGATTTATTATCTTCTTAAACCATGAAAAGGTTTTATTATATTTGTGTTATTTTGGTTTCGAAGATTTCGAGAGTGATTTGTCTACATAAATTTAAATATATTTTTAGGTTAAGTTGTCGATTAATCAAAAAAAGTCGGGTGCTAGCATATGGTTCCTATTTTGTAGGTTTTTCCTATTATCTGCACCCGTGCGGATAATTGGGTTTGATAAGTAGGAAATAAATATTATATTTTTATTTGATTTTATGCTCTATGATTGCTGTTAACTGATTTCCGTCCATTTATTTATTTATTAAATACCGTTTTCCAAATATTAGCATGGTGCTGATACGAGCATTGCTAATTATCAGCATAGTGCTGATAATTGGCGACTGTCTATGCCGTTAATAGGATTTTTCTGTTTTAGTACACAATTAAAATGAAAACAAAGAAGCAAGTGGAGAAGAAGAAAGAATTTATAAAAAGAAAAAAATATGGAAAGGAAAACTTAATACAAGCCCTAGAAGCTGAAAAAAATGGCATGTCAAAAAAACTTGCATCTAAAACTTTCAATGTTCCGAGAGGGACAATCCAATCAAGATTGTGAAATGATCTAAAAGACCTGCCAGGCCCAAGTCCTGTTTTAACTTCAGATGAGGAAGATATACTTGTAAAGTGGGTAAACGAATGCTGTAGAAAAGGCTATCCAAGGAGAAGAATTGACCTTCAACTTAGTGTCGCAAACTTTGTAAAGAAATCTGGAAGACATAATCCTTTTTAGAATGGGGTTCCGGGTAAGAAGTGGTACAGCCTTTTTTTGAAAAGACACCCACAATTAACAGAACGTACTTCTGAACCCGTCACTGCAGCGAGTGCAGCAGTTTCTGAACAAGATATTAAAGGGGGGTTTACAAAAATTGAAGAATACTTGAAAGACAATCAATATTTCAATATCCTTAATGACCCTACACGAGTATTCAACGGTGATGAGTCAAATTTTCAATTGTGTCCCAAAAGTGGAAAAGTTTTAGCTATTAAAGGTGACAAAGACGTCTACGAAGTCGACAATGCGCCTGCAAAATCATCGTTAACGGTTTTATTTACATTCGGGGCAAATGGTGATGTCACACCACCCTTAGTAGTCTTTCCAAATAAAAGGCTGCCGAAGGAGTTAACTTCTAAAGTTCCAGGGGACTGGGGAATTGGACTTAGCGACACTGGATGGATGAAAGCAGAGCTTTTTTATGATTACATAAAAAACGTTTTCCACCCATACTTGAAAAAAACTAAAAGAAATTTTCCTGTTATATTATTTGTAGATGGGCACAAGACTCACTTGACCATAGAGATAAGTGAACTTTGCAGAAGCCCCGACATAATACTGATTGCACTTTATCCAAATGCAACGAGACTTCTGCAACCAGCAGACGTTGCTGCTTTCCGACCTTTAAAGGTAGCTTGGAAAGAGAGTGGCCTTCGCTGTAGAAAAGATAATCCACTGGAAACCTTCACAAAAACGACTTTGTTCCAGTATTAAAAGAATCATTAAATAAAGGTATGTTTGCTTCAATATATTAGTTTAGTTAAACATGTTCTGTAAGTACTTACTTGATATATATTGCTGTTTATTTTTTCGACAGGTATAAAAAGTACAACTATCGTAAACGGCTTCAGAGTAACGGGTTTATGTCCGTGGAATTGGAATTCAATAGATTTAAAAAAATGTTTGGGTGAAACTCCAGCATCAAGCAAAGATCATGTTTCACAAAAGGTGCTGACTGCTGAAACATTTTTTAATTTGATCGTTGACGGTAAAAAAACATCATTGCTAGCTACTTCAGAGGAGAGCTTATTTGGCGCTGATAAAATTTTAAAACAAATCTGCATGTATTTTAGCAGCGACACAAGTTACGATCTCAAGCAGTCAGAAAAAGCAACACAAAACACCATGTAATGCCTTCCAGAAAACATAGACATACGAAATCTGCCTATAGAGTTCATTGATGATATGAATGTTCATGTTGAAGTTGTACACCAGGTTGAGATACATAACATAACTGATCAATCCGACAGAACAAACGCTTACTATCAACCAGTCTCTATTAATAAAGAAAACTTTTTGATTGAAAATGAGTCTGAAATATTATGTTTTAGTCAAGTAATTGATGACTTGAGAGTACCTCAACTGAAGGGAAATATTATCGAAACAACTCCGATTAAAATACAAGATGTTCTGCCGAAGCAAAAAACGCCTCAAAGGAAAGTTGTCAGAAATATACAAAGGCCAACTTTTGTCTTAACATCTAATGAGTGGTTTAAAAAAGAGTTTGAGAAATGCAATGAAAAGAAACTAAAAGAACAACAGATAAAAAAAAAGAAAACAAGATAGAATACAAAAACACGAAGAAAACAAGAAAAAAAACGTGAGGTAAAAACTTCAGTAAAAGCGAAAAACAGCAAAAACGAAAATAGTATCAAAGAAGAGAAGAGCAAATTCCCACCAGAAAAACAAATAACTGTTCTATCTGATGTTACCATTAATATTCCTTTAGAGAAAAACATTGAAATTAAAGAAGTTAATAAATTTGAAGTAGTGGCAAGGGATTTCCAAAGTAATGCAGAAACTGTAAGACATTTTTTTGATAAAATTATTGAAAATAAAAAGAAATCGTACACAATAGAAGAGCTAGAAAAGATACTCGCAGATGAATAGTTATGGCTTATGATATAAGAAAGAAAACTACATATAATGTAATAGAGCTTTTACTTTTGCAAATAAATGATTTTTCTACTGCATTAAAATGTGTGTTTATGTAATAATTCCAAGTATCTCCTATTTTATTTGTTTATTTTAAGTGTTTTTACGATTTAAAAAACTATGCCAATAAATAGGTCAATGGGTGCTAGTAATTGGTAATTGTACTGCTATCAATTGGGGAATAGGCGTTATTTTGATTAAAGCACCATAGAATGAAATAAATGTATGAAATTCGAAGAAAAAATGGTTTCTCTAAAATATTTATTCACTGGTAAACCAAATACCTATCTCGTGATGAAATAATTTTCTTTTTTTTACTTATTTCCACTATTTGAAAATGAACATTTTCTTAAAGTGCTGATAATTGGTGACTTCACCCTATTTTCTTTTTCTGAAGAATATAAATACTTTTGAGGTAAATGAATATATTATTTTCGCTATGATATAATTACTTTTTGCGAGTGCATGTTTTACTTGAAGAAACTAGTGCTATTTTTGTGAGTATCAATTTTGATACTTCGGGCATTCCGATCTAAATAAAACCTAACTACTAATTCTTTGGCTATAAAACTTTTTGAACTTCCGTTTCATTATTTTTCTGCTTAGCTTGGTGTTGGGATTACTTTTATTTTTATTTTATTATAGAAATTTATCAAAAATGCGACCAGAAGCGATTGAGAGCATATTGATGCGGTTAAAAAATGGTGAAATTTCGGAAGACGATTCCACCGACAATGAAGATGACATAGACTATTATTCGAGCCAAAGAGATCGCCTGATGGAGCTAGAAGATGAAGAGGATGTAGGTAATTTTCCCACTGACCCAAACTTGGATGCAGATCCGCCTGTAGCAATCGTAGATACCGAAATGCAACATAATTTAGAGATTGTTGAACGAAGCCCAACTCCTACAACCAGCAGCCAGAACAACCTGCAAACTGCACCTTTCAACTCTAGAAGCTTAGTGTGGAGAGTAAAGAATATGGACATAGTCCAAAATGCTTTCCAGTTTGCTGGAAACACTGAGTATTCACAAGAAATTATGAACTTAGACACTCCTTTTCAGTTTTTTTCTTATTTTTTCGGTGAAGAAATTTTAAGATTTCTAGTGGACGAGTCAAATAAATATGCCTTCCAAAAGAATCCCAACTTTACAGAACCTGTAACTGTCTTAGAATTACGCAAATTTATTGGAATTCTTATTTTTACTAGTGTATATCATTATCCCAGTGTCAGGTCATACTGGTCAAACATTACAAAGTTTGAACCCATAGCACAAACAATGAATCGCAACAGATTTAATAAAATTCGACAAATTTTTCACATGAATGATGACTCTAAACATTTACCCATTGATCATCTCCAGCACGACCGATTGCATAAAGTAAGATCAGTGATAGACTATTTGAACAAGAAATTTATTACTGTACCATTTGAGCATCGTCTATCATTAGACGAGCAAATGTGTTCCACTAAAATTAAACATTTTATGAAACAATACTTACCCAACAAGCCCCATAAGTGGGGATTCAAATTACACATTTTATGCTCTCTGTCTGGGTATGCCTACAGTTTTGAGATTTACTCAGGAGCTAAGGACAAAGACCGTTTACCTGGCGAGCCAGACCTCGGAGCTGTATCGAATACAGTTATTCGATTGTTACGACGAGTACCAAGACACGTCAACCATATAACGTATTTTGACAATTTTTATACGAATATTCCTCTGCTACATTACTTGACCAACGAAGGTATTTATTGTCTTGGAACAGTACAGAGAAACAGGCTAACGTACCCATAGGAACATATCACGAAAATGTGGCCTCTCACGAAGGCCAAGAATTTTCGGCCACAAGTTGGAAAGACAACAAACAAGTACTATTACTTTCCACGTATGTTGGCGCTGAACCAGCGGATACTATAACCCGCTACGAAAAAAAACTGAATGTTCAAGTATCATGTTCTCGGGTCATAAAAGAATATAATGCACACATGGGCGGCGTTGATTTGATGGATAGCTTCATTGGTCGATATCGCATCCGCATAAAGTCGAGAAAGTGGACAACGTGGCTCTTCTACCACTTGTTAGACATGACTGTCATCAATGCTTGGGTACTATACAAAAAGGTAAACACAGTGAAAGGAAAACTTCAGAAGAACATTATGAAGTTAGCAGATTTTAGAACTGAGCTTGCCGATACTTTATGTAGATATCAAAGTCACTCGAAAAATAAAAGGGGAAGACCCAGTACCAACAGTCGACAAGACACTACAGTACCTTCTAAAAGACCCCGGACAGGTGTACAAGTATTACCCTCTACTGACGTGCGTTGCGATTGTATTGGTCATGAAAAAATATTTATGGATTCTAGAAATAAGTGTAAATTTAATAATTGTAGGAACTTACCTCCTGGTTCTGTAAAAAGTGTAAAGTGTCGTTATGCGATAATAAAAACAATCAATGTTTCGCATTATTTCATGCATAGGTATATCAGATTTCTTTATGGCCTTAATAACTGAAGTATCAAAATTGATACCTGTTTTTTTTTTTCTAAATATGTAAAATTAATATTGTGATTTTTTAGCTATTTTTCCCTTCATCTAGACCCTCAAGCAAACACATTAATATTAAAAAAAAATCACTTTCGTAAATCAGGCTATATACTACTAAAGGTTAATATGTATATATATAATGCTTTAATGTTAGATTGCAGCTTCATGTCCGGTCTTAAGGTAATGAGATATAGTGCGTGTGTAAACTACTATTAATGGATACGATGCAACAAATGCTTCGATGATGATCTGTCTCAGGTTTTTCATCAATTATCTTTTGGATTAAGCGGCGTCAAAATGTCGCAAGAACTTCGCAATGTCGTCACATATTGTAAATATTTTTTGTGGACAAAAGTTACAGACAAGGTTGTATGATACAACACCTTTGCCTACCTGAAGCTAGCTACCTAGCTACTCTTATCTATGTGTTAGGTACTATTTTTGTTGTTTCTAAACAAACAGTAAAACTTCTAAACAAAAGTGATTTATGGACAAGACAAATTGATATTATTTGCGACCGGATGATAATAGTTATTACCATATCATATTTGGTTATTAGTATCACAATTCATAATTTGTAAAAGAAACCTCTTAGTAAATGAGCTCTAAATCAGAAATGTTAGGACTTCGGAAAGCGCTATATAAATGTGATATTTGCGGTAGACGCTTAATGAGCGCAAAGTCCTTCAAAAACCATCAAGATTTAGCTCATAAAGAAAGAAGAAAAAGGAAATCTGCTGTTAAGAAAAAAAAGAATGTTAGACGGGCAAAGATTGTGTTTGGTAAAGTCAAAATATCTGCAAGTCCAAGGCAAAAAAATATAGTTTCCCGACGGCCAAAAGCAGCCAAAGCAACTGTGAAGGACAACGACGGTTCTGCAGCAATTTTATCGAATCCTGTTGATGTGTCAAATGTAGAATACGAATGTCCAATATGTATGAAAATATTTCCTGCATATTTCTCTGCAAGTATGCATATTCAAAAAAATCACTGTACACAAGTTAAATATGTTGCTAAAAGTAAGACAAAGTGAGTATAATATAATTACACATATTTAATAAACCATGCAAGTGGGATCAATGTTCTGTAAACATTGGTCTCCAATAAACATCCAAATCATCAGTGTTTTGTAGCTAAAATCAAATATTTAAAAAAGTCTATCTGAAGATTTTTATTTATTACTAGGAGCCAACTACCGGGTCTAAATGTGAATCTAAATCTGTACGACTTTCCATTGACGTCTGTCGAGTTTGGTGTTGATACATATTTTTACAGAAAGATTACATTTTTATAAGCACACACACAAAGTTTAAATATGTGGAAACATGCACTTTTTGAGAAAAAATATTGAAAATCAAATATTTTTGCAATATTTATTTCAATTCCTACTATGAAACTGACACCATTTTTTATTATTATTGTCAGTAGGGATGTTGATTCTTTCCGAAAAAGATCGATTTTTTTAAATAGATTCTAATTGTAAGCTGATGTATCGATTCCCAAAAAATCGACTTCTAAAATATCTATATTTTTTCATGTTTGAGACTATTTGTTACTATTTTGAGACTGCTATGTCTCTGGCGCTGCGGGAAGAGCAGCCTCTACGCCTTAGCGTAACAAATCGCAGGCATCCCTCCTACGATTTGTTACAGCAAGCGGACACTGCTCACCCTACGCCCCTCCGGCTCTATAAAACCACTCTAGGGGTAGGACAGACTTGTACCAGGTGGAGTCGGGGTCAATAAATTTGGTTCTTTGACATAAGTTGAACCTAACCTATTTTATTTGTTATCTGCCCTAATAGGTACTGTTAAAATAAAACAAATTTCAATAAGAGATCATTTATCATGGTATCTTTCTTGTTTTTCATAAAATGGATTTATATTTACATTATAAATGCAAACATTAAAAAAATATACATATTTTAGAAATCTATTTTTTGTGAACCGATACATCAGCTTACGATTTGAATCGAATTAAAAATCGACTTTTATCGGAAAGAATCGACATCCCTACTGACGTCGACAATGACATTACAAAATGGCGCCAGTTTTACGGTAGGATTAGACATAAACATTGCAAGAATAATTGATTCTCAATATTTTTTTTCTCAAAAATTGCACGTTTCCGCATGTTGAAACTTTGTGTGTGTGCTTATAATAGTGTAATCTTTCAGTAAAAATATGTATCAACACCCAACTCGACGGACGTCAATGGAAAGCTAAGCCTCTAAATCATCTAAGGACCCACTCTAACAAAAAAATTCATCAAAATCGTTTAATCCGTTTTTGTGATTGAGTGAGACTAATGGACATCAATTTATTTTTATATATAGAAATAAATAAATATAAAATTACAAAAAGATTACAATTATTAAAAAATTTGGATGTAACAATGTTAATTTTTTTAATAATTTAAATACTTTAGAAAAATTATAATTTTGGCAGAGGTTTTCTTCTAAAACTGCTTCTTTTATAACCACTCAAGTGCCACAGGGGACCATGGTACCCGAAACAAAAAGGTTGACCGCCACTGGGTACTAGGGGCCCCTCACAAAACAGTCTAATAAAATGCCATAAAAAATTGACTAACGTGTTATTCAAGGAAAATAATGTTGGTAGCACTACTCAAGCAAAAGATCAACCAAAAAAAACTGACAAATTAGTTAACAATCTGGGATCGTAAAGTGTGTAGGTTTAGAATAAGCGCAGAATAAATAAAAGGAATAAGTTTAAACATTCTGGTATTGTTAAAAAGGTAATATAAATATATTTATAAAGAAAGTTTTCATCACTGTTTTTCAAGTTAAACCTTTTTTTTTGTTTCAAATTAAAATTATACTTCTTGAATTTTTAGATAGTTAGGTTCCTTAATTATTTAGCTTTATAACTGTTTTTTTTTATTTTATTTTGAAATAGCATGTGTAGTTTGCGAACCACAGGTGTTTTTATTGCCAAGGTTGGAAGTGGTCAAATAACATTTTATTAGCCGCACGATCGCTGGCGGTTGGTCGAAAGTTGGCGGCGTCGGTCTGACGCTTGAGTGGTTAAGTAGCTGTTGTGGAGACCCAGAAACCAACCTTGTGAAGCCGGGGCGTATCTCTTGTAATTAATTTTATACCTTGAAGTTTTCTCACGGTGCCAATCATTAATGTTTTGTTTAACCATTTGAGCCATTGTGATAAATGATTATTTTTATTAATTTGTAATATATCATTTCAGCACACGAAAGTCCAAGGATCTGTTAGAGCCACTTTTGAAGGAGATTTGCATGAAATGTAACCAAAGAATATCTGCAACAGGGTCCCATATCTGTTCTGAAATTGTAGACGAAAATGAGATGATATCAAATATGAACTATACATGCTCTGGATGTAATCAACAGTTTACTAGCTTGATATTATTTGACCTTCATGTCATAAAATTTCATGGCAATGGAGTGGAGACCATGTTCATTCCTAACATGAATGGTATGTTTATACTAATTCAACTAAATTATTTTTATACCTAATATTTTTTTTGTTATCCATTCATTACATGTATTAGTCATGTAGTGGCAGAGTAGAGATCCACAGTAGAGAGTGTAGAATATCCACTACCCCATATTGTCCCATGTGTGTTGTAAGAGGTCACAGAGGGAAATTTAAACAGAAGATGCGAACAAAACATTTTCCTAATAACAACTCAAAATTTTAAAAAACGCCTGCCAAGCATGGCAACTATGGCAAGATCTTCCCTATGAGGATATCTATGGATGAGTCCTATATGTGGCAGATGACTTATAGTTCACTGCTGAACATAGACCCAGATAATTTATGCAGGAAGCCTATGTTGAGCAGTGGATTGTTAATAGGCTATAATGAATGAATGAATTAATGAAATATAGTGAATCTATTTCAAATTTCAATCACTCGAAGCCATGCAACAGGCTGGAAAGAAGTTCAAGGGGAGCCTTTTACTAAGGTCAATCAATGTGCTGTTTGATGTTTCACCAGTTTGACCTTGTGTTCAAAATACTTGGTTACAATGCCAGGTCCTTGAGTTGAATGTCAGGTGAAGTCAAACTTTATGCAAAGATACGAAAAATTTAATTTTATATGGTTGCTTGTGTTTTGAGTACTAACTACATTATAAATTACCTCAATTTTAAACCCCCCTGACGAAAACGGTGGTGTAATATGTTTGTGGTATGGATCTGTGTTTCTGTTTATCTGTCTGTGGCACCATAACTCCTGAACGGATGTGCCTTAATCAAGAATGTTCTTAGTTATGTTTCAAGAAAATCTGTTCAAGAGTTTGAAGATCATCTGCTGTTTTTGTTTTGTGGGTTTTGAACATTTTTAATTTTAGTTATATTAGATAAGGTTTACCATAAAGTAATGTGAAGTTATTATTGCGACATCTAGTGTCGGGTAACAAAATATGTTTGTCGACCATTGAGTCTTTGCATAAGAGACATAAATGTATCTATTCATACAAACATAAATGGCGATTTTTCTAAGTAAATTACAGTATTACTGCAACATCTCATGTTAAGTACCTAAAATTGTTTAATCCTGGAAATTTTGAAGATTAATAAAGATGTATTAAATCTCGATTTACAAAATCTTATGGTTCTCACTCGAACTGATGACGATTAGCATACGAGGGTGACACTGAAAGTTCTTAGCAAATCAAAAACTGAACAAACTAGCAAGTTTAGTTTTATTATATCTTTTCAAAATAGTGTCCATTTACAGCAATACATCGCCACTGAGAAAAGCACTTTGCCCACTCGTCCTTAGGGGTGTCTTCGACGGCAATTTGAAACGCAGCCACTGCTACGTTAAAATAATAAAACGTTTTCCTCGAAGGTTTTCTTTTATTTTCGGAAATAAATAAAAATTGCAAGGCGCGAGGTCGGGGCTATAGGGCGGGTGACCCAGTAATTCCATGTCTGACGTTTCCAAGTAGTCGATTGTTTGCTTGGCGGTGTGCGACGAGGCGTTGTCGTAGTGAAGGAGGATCCTACTGCGAGGTTGTTTCTCCCGAATTTTTTCCAAGACAAGTGGCAAACAATTGTTAGTGTACCACTCTGCAGTAACTGTGTTTCGATCCTCTAAAATAATAGTTGGCGTAATGACCTGTCCTTCCGAAGAACGAGGCCATCTTTTTTCCCACGCTTCGACCTCTCTTCACTTTAGTTGGCAAATCCTCGGAAGGAAACACCTAGACATCAGTCAGTCTCTTAGTTTCAGGATCATAACAATAAATCCAGCTTTCGTCACCCGTAAGTATGTCGAACGCAGCATTTGAGTCACCTCCATTAAATCATTGAACCATTTCACGACAACAATCAACACGACGAAGTTTTTGGAGCCTCTGTCAAATTATGAGGTATCCACCGGGCACAAAGTTTCCTGACCGCTAAATGTTTATTGAGGATTTGTGCACTTGACTCATACCGATGCCTAAGCTTGTCCAAATCTGCTGATAAGTCACTCTTTTGTCGGTCTCTATGATACGCCGCACAACACTGATGTTGTCTTCAGTCGTCGCCGTAGAAGGCCGTCCCTCACGCAGATCATCAGTGAGATTAGTGCGACCACATTTAACCTCATAAAACCAGTTGTAAACAGTAGCACGAGATGGGGCTTCATCGTGAAAGGCCAATCTAAGTCTATCATAACTTTCTTGTTGATTTAAATGACATCGAAAGTCATAAAAATCATTGTATGAAAATTTTCTCGCGTTAAATTCTCGTAAAATTTTCTCGCGTTAAATTCATGCTGACGTGACACAATATTTTCAATTTGCCGCCAAATCGTAAACAAATGACAATAAAATACATACACAATAATTGGCAGAGTTCCATTTTCATTTTTTTTTTATTATATCGTTTAAAAGTGGCCATTTCTAAAAACTTTCAGTGTTGCCCTCGTAAAACATTTCTGTATTATGTTTTAATAGCCAGTCATGTAAAAAATTTTGGATGTTGCACAATTGTCAGTATACATTCCTTACATTGCTTATGTGTGATTATGGCGACACTGGTTTTGGTACAATTTATGTGCTTTACCACTTCCTATCGCTTTATTATTCTGTTGCTTACTATGTGTTAGTGTCTCTATGTTGGTGCTTGCACTTGAGGCTAGGGTTGGCAACCCATTATTTATAATATTATCTAGTATTAGGGGCCCGAACACTATATTTCTAAAAAACAAATTAGATGAGACTACTCTACTAATCATCATGCTAGGCTGGTGTACTCGTGATCGCAGGTCTTACAATCTCACAACTTTGACCGTCGCCGGCATTATATTCGACCTGATATGAAATGGTAATAGTGCCGTTTGTTGAAAGCCTTTGGAATTTTCTAAGCCAACCCTTACCATGTGGTGATATTGGGTGATGGATTGAATTACATTGCCATCCGATGTCAAATCATCAATATAGACAAATTGATTAGCATATTAAATAAAAAATGTTGAATATTGTTTACAGAATTTCTTGCTTGGAAAAAGGAAGTGGAGAAGAAAACGAAAGTCAAGTATGCTTTACTTGAAAAATACAAGTCAAAGAAAATCTACCATTGTACTTTTTCACCGTATGATCGTAATTTTTACAATAGTAACACAATATACTGCTGCCCTGCCACTATTTCTGTTCAAGAGTTCTCTGAAGGTGTACAAGTTCAATTCCATACGGAGCATTTTGGCCATGCCTGTGATGCCTATGTTATAACTGAGAAATATAGGAAATATTCACTAACGTCATTACTTCAAAATACAGATGTGTATGCAACAATAGATAATCCAAATGTTAATAAGAAGGATCTGTATTTCCAATTTCAAAGGCTCATGGAGTGTATTGTAGTGAATGCTGGTAAATTAAATGTTGAAGCGCTTAAAGTTTTGTATGGTAGAGCTCTGGCAATGACTTTTGTGTTAAATAATTATATAGAGGACACTGACTTAAGCTATTCGTTCATGAATAATATAATTTGGGAACTTGGGAACCTTGAGAATAAACAAGGTACAGAAAATAATTCGTTGTTATATCCTAATAAACCACCGGATCCGCCTATTTTGAGGCAATTTGTATCACCACAACCTAAACAGGCTGACCACAACATGCAATCTACACAAAATGTAATGATGATGTCCGTGATCAACGACCCAAATAAAATTAGCAGACGCTTTAATATACCACATAAACTCGCTGACCAAAATGAGCCATTTCCGCAAAATTCGATATTGATGTCCATGCTCAATGCCCCAAATAAAATTAATGAATTCTTCAATTTAACACATCCAGTCATGAGTAAAACACAAAGTGAACTGAACAGCAAAAAGGAACTTAATATGGAAAAAATATTAAACAGTTCAACTCAAGAAATACCTTCAAATGTGCCATCGGCTTTGTATACTAAAGAAATTAGATATGTACGTGCACCAGTTCCTCAGAACCCGCCAAGTATGTCAATCGTCGTTGCGAAAGAATTTGGCAAAGAAGTCATATATGTGCCTGCATTTCCTTTGAACATGCCACCTGTTGTTGCGGGCAAAGAAATCAGATATGTACCAGTAGCAGCACCTTTAAACGTGTCATGCAGCGCAGATGATGTTGCAGGCAGAGAAATCAGACATATATCACTACCTCAAAATATGCCAAGCGGTGTTGTAGATGATAAGGAAACTAGACAAGTGGCAGTACCCCTGCCACCGAACACGCTAACGGCCTCAAGTTGCAAAGAGATTGGACAAGTTCCAGGACCAGAATCTTCGAAATTTAAAGAAAAGAAACTTGGACCTCCATCATTCAGTGACAGTTATAAAGATTTTGTGTCTAAATATTCCTATAAATGTCCTAGCTCTACCACAAATAATAGAACTAAATATTTCCACCACTGAATTGGTCTAACAGCCATAAACTTTTTTGATTTTTCAATATCATATCCTTGATGATACACAACCATGATCTCTGTTCTCTACTCTAAAAACCTGGACTGGATATAATCACTTAATCCTATTTTGATCCTTTACCTTAATTCCTATTTTGAGAAAAGATATGTCTTCCTTGAATTTTATTTATAGTATAGAGTGACAAACGAGCACAAGGTCCACCTGATGGTAAGCGGATGCTGTGGCTCGTAAACGTCTACAATTATCCTCAATTAATAATAAAAAAGCAGATGTGTTGTCACACCTGAGGACTAAGATTGCCTCGTTTCCAGTAAAAAGGGTCTCCGGTTGTCTACACTCACCATACGAAACAACAGCATTAAGCTTCATTCGTGCTACAATCTATATTGTGTCTGTAGCACATATAACTTGATTATGTTTCTGTGATTTGTATCGGGTTGTTTCTGGACTGAATTTTTTAAAAATAAAACTAATTTTACGGATTTCATCGCGTATATTAACTTATTTTATATTACCGACGTTTCGAGCACTTTACAGCACCCATGCTAACGGGGGGGGGGGGGGGGGCCTGAGGTGTATGTATGCCTATTTGTGCTACAACCATAACATAGCTGTAGTGTAGCTATACAACATATATAATAATATTAGCTGACCAGGCACACTTTGTTCTACCCTTTCTGACGATCATTTGTCCTTTAAAAAAATCTTTAAAATTCGCAATAAAAATATTGAGGGTCACTTATCGGGATAAAAAACTATCCTATGTTTTAAGTTGGAGCAAGCGATACACATTTACAAAATGTTATTAAAATCCGTTGAGTGGTTTCGGAGTTCATCGCAGACAAACAATGTGACACGTAATTTTTATATATAAAGATATACACCCAAAACAATATTGCCCAATTTCTGGGCAGTTGGGTAAAACACTTCTAACCTTTTACGCAGCTACAGTAATGTTGTTTTGTACGATATCTATTTATAACGTATGTTAATAGATAGAATAAAAATAAAGTGTGTTATTTTTGTTTTCATAACATAACATAACATAACATAAACACTCACGCCTGTCACCCAGAGGGGTAGGCAGAGATTATGGACTTCCATTTGGCACGATCCTGACACACCTCTCTCGCTTCCTCCACATCCATATACCTACGCATACACGCTCGTCGGTTAAAGGTACTCTTGATTTGGCCCATTTTTAATATATCGCCAATTTGGTCGATAAACTTTCGCCTAGGGCGACCCTTCCCGACTATGCCGTTCACCTCTGCAACATAAATTTGCTTTGTCACTCTTTCCTCATTCATTCTTTCTACATGGCCAAACCACCGAAGCATTCCTTTCTTAATCCTGGTCACAACATCATCTTGCAAACCACACTCTTCTCTTATTAAACAATTTCTCACTCTGTCATTCAGCTTCATCCCTAACATACTCCTTAATGACCGCATTTCTACAGCATTTATTCTACTCTCATGCTTCTTCTGCCACACCCAACTTTCACTACCATACATTAAAGTAGGTACTAACACAGCATTGTGAATTGCCATACGTGCCTTTTTGGACACATTCTGACTTTTCACAATAGAGTGTAGAGCCCCATTCACTCTATTTCCTGCATTCACTCGTCGTTCTATATCCTTATCATATCTACCATCCCTGTTAATCTTTCGATTCAGTATATAATGCGTTCTTGGGTAGCGATATACGCTTTTATAATAAGATTCCAAAAGAAATGTTAGATCTTTCACCTTTTCAATTTAAGTCAGACAAAAATGCTTGGAACTGACCTCTCGTACTACACAGGACTAACTAGAAATTTCTAAACCGATTTGGTACCTACATATACATTTGACATTTACAGTCTTATTCCAAAAAAATGTTTTAGTACTGGGTTAAGTTTAGGAGTAAGAAGTCCAGGTTTGTTACAATATTCTAGTTAATACCAGCACTAAAACGTGTGCTTATTACAAAACGCAGACTACCCGAGGACCAGTTAATACCAACGTTAGTATTATATTAAATATCATTCACAGATAAAAAACAAAAAATGACACTCTATCATTCGTTCATACAGGTTTCATTCAATGCAACGTTCGGTTTCATAAAATATTAATATTATTTTCACATTTAATTATGCTTAAATAATTATCCATCAATACAAAAACATATCATACATTGTTATTTGTTTACGTTAAAATCTATTGAACAAGCTTGACATATACTTTTGACGCGCTTTTGATTATATCAAGTTGTTTTCAGTTTAACAACTCTAGCGTGAAATGTAGTGAATTACAGAGGTAACGCGAGCGCGGGATTCGAGACGTTCAAAATAGTTTATATTGCAGCCTTATAATAAGTAAATTAAATTATTAATAATTAATTAAGTACTTGCTATTACAGTTATATTTATATAATAATGGAACAAAAGAAAAAACGGGGTGAAAATTGGAGTTCTGAAGAAAAAGTTAGTGAAATATCGAAATTTATTTGTCAGTACGTAGCAATACTCTTATCCTCCTATTATCCTTATTTCAACTAAAAGGAATGTTCTTATTATTATAGGAAATATTACGTACACTTATTTCACAATCAGCACATATAATAGAGAATAAGTCGACAAAAACATCGGTAAATATTCAAAAAATAAAAGAGTGGAAGAATATAACTAATAAGTAAGTACTTATCGCATTTGTTATGTGTACAAATAGTTACGGTATTGTTTACGTGATTTCGTATTTTTTTTTTTAGATTTAATGAGATAACAGGTAAACGCCTATCAGATGGTGAATTGAAATTATCTTGGAAAAGAATGAAGTTGTGTGCTAAATCAAACTTATACACATATAGGAGGGAACAATCAAAGACCGGGGGTGGCGGAAAACCTCCATCACCTTCTCTTGAGGACTTGGAAATAATGTCCATTGCCCCTCACGACTTTATCGTTGAAGTTAATAATTATGATAGTGATGCAGTGGTAAATAAAATTACTTACATGTCTTACAAATTTAATTAAAATTAAAGAACTTTATTTTCCATTACTTTAGAACCTAGGTAGTGCTCTGAAATCTACTCTTAAAGCATACAATTTACAATCCAAAATTATTTTCCGAATATTCAAAATTTAATATACTTAGTAACAATTTAACATAAATTTCTTTATAATTAATTATGTTCAAAATTGAAATGTCACAAATTCATATATAGTGGTCTATATAATAAAAAATAGATTATCTACACAGTCCGATTATAATTTTCTATTTTTGTCTATTAGGTATTATAATTAATAATTTATTAAATTACCTTTTGTCTTGGATCATAATAATATTTCTACAACATAGAAAATACCTGATTCAATAAAGGGCAAAATAGAGATGACAGGTGACAGAAAAACATGTTAATAAATGTTTTAATGATTTATTTTAGGATCCAGTGACTGTGGCTACAACATCAAAAGAAGTTGCTGACCCTAAGCCTCGCCTTAATTTTGAAAAAACAGACACAGCTATAGTTAAAAATGTAGAAAATCCAGAACCCAATGTTGTATATGTGCAAGGTAAATAATACGGATTGAATATTTATTAAAAAGCAAAATATATTATTATTATAGTTACAATCATATGCATACAAGTTTGTAAATATTATAAATGTTAATTTTCTAAAACTGTTATATTTATATTAATTTTTAGAAATAGATCCAACTACAGATACAGAAGAAAGTGCCAAAATGGTGAAAATAACCAACAATAAAGATATTATTACTAGGGGTATAACAAAAATTAAAAACAGGAAAAATAGCTTGCAAAATAGGTATGTTGAAAAAATTACATAGTCTGATACATTACATACTTTTTAAAATGTGAAAATTAGTATTTAAACACTGAAAATTGTTTCATGTTTTCAAATATTAAAAGCAAAATTTAATATGAATTGATTTAAAAATAATTAAAAAATATTTCTTTAATTGGTGTACAAGGTTAAGTGCACTTTTATTACTCTAGAATACTTTGTAAATTTCTAAAATAACTACAAAACTTACATTAAGTATTTCATTTCATTTTACAGAAGAGAAGATGTACACCAAACAATTGTAAAAAGTAACACAGATTTTAAAAAAAGACAACTGGAAATGATGGAAGAGGAACATAAATACAATATTAAAATAGCTAACCTAAAAATTAGAAAATTAGAGTTACAAATATTTTTATTAGAAAGTCAGAAAAACACAAGTTAAATAGCAGCTTAATGCTGCTGTGTCTATTATGGTGAGTTTATAGAATGAGAATAGAATAGAATGATTTTTATTAAATATAGATTATTACAGAATACTTATTGAAAGACATTTTTTATTTACCACTGGTTCGGAAAATACCTCAGTCCTGGGAAGAACTAGTAAGAAACCCAGCGGGACTTTTTTATAA